TTCACAATATCGCTCTATTTGCATCGTATTTGGTCACTCCTTTACTTGTAGTGGTTGTTGTTGCTGCTGCTGGACAGTGGTGTGCGGTGGGGCTTATAAAATAAAGTATTATGAACACGCGCTCGCAATAATTTTATTTTTTTCCCCGCCATTTCCAATGAGTTTTTCCAATTTGTTGCGGACGGACCAGGGCGAGCCGATCTCTCTCCACCTCACACGCACGCCCGCTGAAATACGGGCACGGGTGAAGGGGCGAGGCGGGGCGGGGTGGGGCCCGGGGTGGGGTGGGGCCCGGGGTGGGGCGGGTTGAGGTGCGTGAGCCCCAATACGCTGGGGCTTGTTCCTTTACGGGCGACGAATGCGTGCGGCGAGCCGTATAGCGCACCTACTCTCCAAAATAAGAAAAAGAAAAAGAACAAGAATGAAATGGGTGGTGTGTTAAAAAAGAGAACCGTAACACAGCAGCTGTTCTTTCAATTCGCTTCTATTTTTCCGAAAGGGAAAAAAGGAAGGGGGGCAGCACTGACTAGGCCGTGCCATTAGCTGTCGGCAGCTGAAAAAGCAGTCGACGGACAGCCAACTGAACTGAACTGCGTTCGGGCTGCTAAAGGCGGTTGAGTTCGAATGTGTGGGAACGAAAATAAATTAAGTGGACAGCCGTATAGTGCTGTATACAGCTGCGTGCTGCTCTTTTTTTTGCTCTTTTTGTTCGTTTTATGAAGGGACGAAAGTTACTGATGAGTAAAACGTTGTGTCGACAACGAGGTCGACAAGAAAGTACAACAATATCAACATGAGTTCAAGTTCATTTCTCCATTTCTCCTCTTATATAATGGTCGATTATGGTTCAATATGTTAATTTTTGAAATGAACATCACCCTACTTTTTGGTTGTTTTTCTTTTTTTTCCTGCACCGCGCGGAATAAAGTGAATTTAGATCGGGGGAGGGCGATAGGCAGATTGAAGGCGAGCGGGTCGGCGTTAGGGCGCTGAGGAAAATCACTACCGTGTTATCGGCAGAGGAATTGGACACTCAATAATTTTACGCAGCCCCCCTGGCCTTGACAAATAGGCCTAATGCCGAGCAGGAGCAGAACGGGGAAGGGTAAGGCGGGATGAGGTGGGGGGAGAGAGAGAGAGAGAGAGAGAGAGAGAGAGAGAGAGAGAGAGAGCACGGGGCCCTCGGGGATGTGGGCGGGTGGGCGGGCTGTGCCCAGAGTCTCCAGCTGGGGCTGCAAGCAGAAGAGCGATCCGTCTTGCTCGCGCTCCAAATTGATGATTGTCGACGTGTTTGAATAGCAATATGGCGGCAGTGGTGCAGCGGGTGTTGCGGGGCCACGGAATTAAGAGTCTGCGGTCACCTACGCTGCCAGGAAGAAATCAGCTTTCGGATTGCTTATGTGCCTTATTTTGATTTTCGATGTTAGGCTAGTTAACTTTCTACGCGTGAAGTTGTAAGTTGTCAATTTAATCTGAGATAATAAGTGTTAAGAACGTTATTAGTAGAAAGTGGTGGCTATGATAGTGGCAGTACAACTTCATTGGAAAAACATAGTCTTTAAAGTGTGGTAGTTTACTGATGAAGATGAATGATAAATACATTCATCGAAAGACAAATTTTGTCCAAAGGGATTTTTAAAAAAATATTTCACTGGTAAAACAAAGGTGCGAATCCCTACCGTTAAAAGGCACTAAATGTGACCTTTCACACCTTTAGCTGGCTAGCTTCATATGAGTTCCATACAAGTTTAGTGCCTTTGGAAAGACACGAGACTCTAGTGCCCCAGGAAAGGCCCCAAACTGCGCCCTTGACTATAGTGCCCCAAGAAAGGTGTTGTTTAGTGCCTTTGTTTTTCCAGTGTTCTTTTTGCTGGCTGAACTACTTTTAGCAAAGGCGGACATTTATACAAAAAAGAACAGCTTTTCGTTATGACAGTGTTGCTAATGCATTAGGTGTGTCATTGAGGGGAGTGGCATCAAGGAGCAGCTGCTGACCCAATGTGTGTGATGGACACTGAGCGGAAGAAGGAGGGAGGG